ATCGTCGTCATCAGCATCATCATCATCATCATCATCATCATCATCATCATCAGCACCAGCACCAGCACCAGCACCACCACCACCACCACCATCATCATCATCATCATCATCATCATCATCATCATCATCATCACCATCATCATCATCATCATCATCTTCATCATCATCATCATCATCATCATCATCATCATCATCATCATCATCGTCGTTATGATCATCATCATCAGCATCATCATCAGCATCATCACCAGCATGATCATCATCATCGTCGTCATCCTCATCAGCATCAGCATCAGCAACATCATCATCATCATCACCAGCAGCAGCATCAGCATCATCTTCATAATCAGCAACATCATAAACTTTATCATCATCCGCGTCATCATAATCGGCAGCATCATCAGCAACACCGTAATCATCATCAACATCATCATCAGCAAAAGCATCATCACCACAATCAGCATCACTATCATCATAACCATCAGCATCACAATCAACATCACTAGCATCATCATCATCACCATCATCATCATCATCACCAGCACCATCATCACCATCAACATCATCACCATCATCATCAACACCAGCGTCATCACAATCCTCCGACATCCTCCTCCTCATCCTCATCCTCCTCCTCATCATCATCGTCATCAGCATCATCATCAGCAGCAGCACCATCACCATCACCATCATCATCACCACCACAATCATCGTCGTCATCACCATCCTCATCATCATCACCATCATCATCACCATCATCCTCACCACTATCATCGTCAACATCATCCTCATCATCCTCCTCCTTCTCATCCTCATCATCAGCATCATCATCACCATCATCATCACCATCATCATCAGTATCATCATCGTCATCACCATCATCCCTCTCCTCTCTTTTTACGTTGCCCTGGCGCTGGCTCCTCAACCAACCCTCCCCCCTCTCTCCCCCCGACCCCCCTCTCCCGCACTTCTCATCCTCCCGCTCATTATTTTCATTTCTCCCCCTCCCCCTTCTCCCCTCATCCCAGGCGCCCCCAGTCCCAATAAACGGACAAGTCGGATACATGGAGGCCGCCTAAGTGTCAGGGGCGGGAGTAAGTCCACCACTCTTGGATCCGATCTTCCAGGACCTGAGGAACCAGTGATATGGCCCTGAGTGCCCAACAAAAGCATCCACGTCCACTACCACCTGGTGTCCTGGAAAATCGGTTTCCGAAATGATCTGCATTGGCAAGAGGGGCCTGCATAGAGAGGGCGGAGGATCGCAACGACATCGCCGATGCGTCGGCGACGTATCAGCAACTTCGGGATAGAGAAATCGGGCTCCGGATCACGCCGCATCGCAAATACATCGGCGACGCGGCGCGTTCCCTCGAAGCTATCCAATGGGAGCCCATGTTGGCGGCCTGGAATGAAGTTATCAGGTGGCACTTCCTGAGAGGCACCTGCAAGCACCGATTAGGAAGTACCAAAACAGAAGCTTCAAGAGACGAGGAGGGAGCGTCGTTAAGGGCCATCCTGGATCCATCTCGGGGTGTCTTCGGGCCTGTCGGGGTCGGTACGCAGGGCCTGGGGCCAGGGAGGTCCGAGATGGCCAGGAGGGCCCGAGATGGCCAGGGAGGCGGACGACGACGAACGACGACGACGACGAGATGAGGGGCCCCGAGCTCTGGAAATACAGCAGTTCACGCACAACAGCGTAATGTCAGGCTTGACTACGACCATGGAGCTCTCACGCCAACTCCATCCCCCCCCGCACAGTAACAACTCTCTGGCTGGGCGCGCACGATCATCTTCGCGCCCCTGCGGGTGGCAACTGCAGTTCCAGAGGAGCAGGTGCCGCGGCAGTTCCAGAGCGCCTCGAATCACAACAACGATGGGTTGAATACTGCAGCTGCTCTGCAAGGGTCCCAGAGTCTGGACTTCCCGGCCAACCCGGGCGCTTTGAGAGCAGGGCCGTCAAGAAGCCCTGGGGGCAGGCCCGAGAGACCGACATCACTGAAGCACAATTATGTTGTTTCGGGGATATTCTGACCCGGGTCAATCCAGACCCGGGTCAGCAGGAAACCAAAAACTGCAATGCAGGAAAAAGAACTGCAACGCAGGTCTTCGCAAACCCGGGTCAGCCAATATGCGCGGCCGCCTCGCGGCCTCGAGCGGCTCGCTAACCCGGGTCAGCCAGAGGGGGCCTTCGCAGGATCCTGCAGGATCTGGCGCCCTGGCTGACCCCCGTTTGCATCGACCCCCGTCTCAAGGCTCCCGATGCATAACCTGAATCCGCCGGCCCCCTTGTGGGGCCACCAGGCTGTATGCCGGAGGTCCGCAGTTTCCTGTACCAGTTGCAGCTTCCAGTTTCCACTGTTACAGTTCTGCTTCTTGCTGCGTACTGTTCCTTGTTGACTTCTTGCTGCTTACTATTCCTTGTTGATGGACCGCGCGAAGGGGGGAGGCCCAAAACCAGCATTTTTACCACCCCCAAATCATGTTGTCCGAATTGCTGGGGTGGGTAAACATTAACACCTACATTTTTGAAATTCGGCGGCACCCCTCACGCAGATCGGCAGTGTCAGGGTCCAAAAACACAAAGTATGTTGCACTTTTCTGACATTCGGTGGCACCCCTCACGCAGATTGGCGGGGTCAGGATGCAAAAACATATTGGATTTACTACATTTTTGAAATTCGCTGGCACCCCTCATGCAGATCGGCGGGGTCAGGGTCCAAAAACACATGGGACTCGCCACTTTCTAAAATTCGGCGGCACCCTTCACGCAGATCGGCAGGGTCAGGGTAAAAAAACATAAGAGATTTGCTACATTTCTGACATTCGGTGGCACCCCTCATGCAGATTGGCAGGGTCAGGGTGCAAAAACATATTGGATTTGCTACATTTCTGAAATTCGGCGGCACCCCTCAAGCAGATCGGCGGGGTCAGGGTCCAAAAACATGTGGGATTTGCCACTTGTCTGAATTCGGCGGCACCCCTCACGCAGATCGGCAGGGTCAGGGTCCAAAAACACATGAGATTTGCTACATTTCTGAAATTCGGCGGTACTCCTCAAGCAGATCTGTAGGGTCAGGGTCCAAAAACACATGAGATTTGCTACATTTCTGAAATTCGGCGGCACCCCTCACGCAGATCCGCAGGGTCAGGGTCGAAAAAACAAACAGGTCCCGACACTGCTTCACGGCGAAGCCAAAGCCTCATGACTTCGCTCTTCCATGGCCCATTCTCCGAGAGAGGGGGCTGGCGGCAAGGGGCGAAGCCCTTACGAATGTTGTAAAAAGTGTCAGGCGAGAGCCGCTGTTGTTGTAAACCAGGGGCCAACGACACAGTTTGACCCTCAAGACTTTCAATGATAAACAACGGGGTGCGAGCCCCAGGAGGGGCACTACACTCAAAAAAACAATGTGCACCCGGCGGGGGGGATCGACAATAATTACCCTTCAGAAGTGAGAATTCAACAACAACACTAACACTAACACTAACACGAGCACTAACAACAACAACAACAACAACAACAACAACAACAACAACAACAACACCAACACCAACACCAACACCAACACCACCAACAACAGCAACAACAATGAAACAACAACAACACCAACACCAACACCAACACCACCAATAACAACAACAACACAACCATCAACACCAACAACAACAACACCAACAACAAAAACAGCAACATCAACAACAGCAACAACGGCAACAACAACACCAACAACAAAGACAATGACAGTCTACAACAACAACAACAATAACAAAAGACAACAACAACAACAACAACCACAACAACCACAACAACCACAACCACAACCATAACCACAACCACCACCACAACAACAACCACAACAACAACAATCATTTTAAGACTATTCGACCTTATCTGCTCGAGTGTCTAATAACGCGTGATCCCCAAACCCTCGATACCCGCCCTCTTCGTCGGCGGGGCGGCCGCGGACCGTCGGCCTGGCCAGCGTTAGCGCTGATCGCCGGGGAGGCCGCGGACCGTCGACCCGACCCCAAGAGGGACGGACAGGGGACCGACCACGACGACGACGACGTCGACGACGACGGCGACGGCGACGAAGACGACGACGGCGACGACGAGCGAAAGCGAGAGCGACAGAGAACGACAGCAGGGCCACGGAGGACACGAAGTAGGCCACGAAGGGCGACAGCGGGGACACGAAGGGAATGCGTATGGGGCCACGAAGAGCGCGAACGAGCGGGGGCCACGAAGGGCAGATAAATAATGCGGGGCCACAGAAGGCAACGATGGGGCCACTGAGGGTAGCAACTGGGCCACGTAGGACAGTGAGGGGGCCACAAACGGCGACAGCGGGCGCGACTCCTGGGTGCCTGGGTGTCGGGAGCGCGGCGCATGAGCCAATTGCGGGAAATTCGCAAGGGCGCAATTATTTAGGACATTGCAAGCAAGTTTCCCGCGAGAGCGCGACTCCAGAGCGCCGGGAGAGCAATTCCTGAATAAATTGTACGGAAGTCCCAAGCGAGCGCCAACAACAACAACAACAACAACAACAACAACCAGTTTAAGGCTGTACGCTCTTACTTGCCCGCGAGTCATTCAACACGTATACCCTACACCGTCGATACCCGCCCTCTTCGTCTTCGATCACACCCCTTTCGGGGGGATTATTTCTCTTTGCTGGGGCCGGCGGGCTTAATCCATCAGCAATAATAAGCGAACAGTTGTCTTTTTTCAACCCGCTTCCCTCACGGATGGGGTCATATTATTGACCCTTTCCTTCACGGATGGGGGTCCATTAGCGCGACCGCCCCCGCCAGGAGAAAAGAAGCACGAGATGGCGGGAATGTCTCGAAGGAGAGGAAGGAAGGAAGGAAGGAAGGAAGGGGAATAGCGACGCAGAAGGTGCGGAGGACGGAAATGACGCTTGATATTTGGCGGTGGGAGCGCCTGACCCTGCCCCCCCCCCCTGCGATTGCAGGCGTGTTTTTCTTGCGTTTTCAACCTGTCCGCGCGAGATCGGGCTGCCGGGGGAAGCGTCGCAGCAGCGGCGGCGCCGGGCCAGCTCGACAAACCAACGGCGCGGACCCGCGACCGCGGAGCCACGGCCGCCGCTTTACCATTCATCGCCGTCTTCGCGCCAGTGGCCGTCGTCGCCGCCGATCCACGCCCACCATCGGCCCCGCCGCCAGCGGTGCGTCTGGGAGCGCGGCGGCTCACGGAGGCTCGGGCGACATGGGCCATCGTCGACCTTGCCGCCACCAAACCCCTCCATCTTGTATTCCTCCCCTTCCTTGCACGCCGCGGCCGCCACTGCAATCAGCATGCGCGGTCGCTTGCGGCGACGGGTAGTGGCGCGGCGGATGCTGAGGCGGCCGCATTTGCGGCCACCGCGGCGGGCGTCGCGGAGGCGGCAGCAGCGGGGTGTCGCGGAGGCGGCAGCAGCGGCTGCAGCGGCAGCAGCCGTTGCAGCAACTGCTGTTGGTGCGGCGGCGCCTGTTGAGGCGTCAACTGGGCCTCTGGAGGGCCCGTTTGTGGGGCCGTCTGCTGATTTGGCCCCGCTACTGCGGGGCGTCGGCAACGTGCGCTCCCCCCTCCGTTTTGATTTCCTTTTGCCGCTCACGCTTCCGAGCGTTTCTCCGGGCCTCTGCGGCGGCAGATCGACCCAGTGGAAAGGCAGTCGTCACCATGAGCGGGCAGTGCGCCCCGCCGTGGCAAAGCCCGCCGACTTCGAAAATCTCGACGTCCAGCCTCGTTTCCTTGCACCTGACGGCAGGAAAAAAGTCGGTCTGGCAGTGGCTCGTGTCACCCCGCGCTTCAGCTGCTTCGCGCCGCTGGCGGTCTGCGGCACGCAGCGCCACGACCCTCGCGGATTCGCCAGATGGAGACAGAAACGTTCGGACGAGGTTTTCCACGTCACCCTTGGGGGTGAATCATCCCAGTTCCTACCCGGGCCCGCCGTTCTTCCCGCGCCGAAAGTGCACGACAGGAGGGTCGCCCGCCGCCACTGCGGCGGGCGACCCCCTGGAAGGCGGCATGGTATTTCTATGCCCCAGCCCAATGACCGATGACTCGTGGTACAATATACCACTGGCGTCTCTCGCGTGAACGAACTCGGGCGCATGGAAAAGCTTGTGCCCCCCAGGGCACGAGATAAACCAGATGCCGCATGAATCGGCCATCGGCAACCCTTCAAGGCACTTCCAGAAATAGGCCGCTGCAATTTGGTTTTCAATTCCGCGGCCCCTCAACTGAGGAACCGCGGACATCGTGGCCATGTCGAGATCACCCATCAAACTATTTATGTCGCATGACGACAACTTCGATGCCAAATCTGGACAGAATCTGTCGTGCGCGGCGGGGGACCCACCCCCCTTCTGTCTTTTTGCCGTGCATCTGCGAAGGCGAACAACGGCCAATCGCAATATGTTCCCGAAGTGCACGAGTGACTCCAAGAACGCGGCTGCGCGCGCCCTTCGCGTTGCCAGCTGTAGTCTTTTAAATTCCGTCGGCGCGGCGCTCCCAAAAGAGCAATGACAGTTTGTTAGCGATGTTCTTCCGCGCCCCAAGACGCAAGCTGCTGCGCTCATTGCCCCTGATTGTCATGAACTCGAATGATGACCGGCCCATTAGCGATTGGCAGCCGCCGTCGGCGTCGGCCCCCGCAACTGCGGGGGCATTGACGCTGGCGCAAGTTCCAGGCCGCTGCAAGACGAGCTCGCATTCGGCCGTGCACTCTGCTAGAGCCACCACTTGGCACGGACTCTGCTGACGCCTGCGGTTCGCGTCGTCGCCCCGCGGATGCGGTGCGACCCCCCTCGCGAACGCCCGCTGCTCGCCGCTTCGCGACTGCGCAGCGTCGTGCCAAGCGACACCCGCTGCTATGACATACTTTCCGCTGCCATCCGCTGCCTCGCGTGATCCTCGACGAAGGCAAGTGGAACTTCCTTCGCCCCTGAGCGGGGCGCCGCTGCAAGGCGCAGGCCAGTCCGGCCAAGCAGCGCGCAGCGTTTCTGCCACGTCTGGTTGGTCATATCCCTGATGTGGCTCGTGAACGATTTTCCTTTCAATGGGCTCTTCAGCGCCGTCGCCCACGACCCGCACGGGGACCACGCAGTCCGAAGGTCGCGGTCAAGCCCCGCGCGCGCGGGGCCTCCCTCGTCATCGCCGCGGCCCTGGTTGTCAGGGCCCTCCGGCTCTGGCACGCGCCATCCCGCAACCTCGTTCGCGACGAACTCGCGCAACCATGGCAGATCATCCACGGGCGCCCACAACCTTTCGTAACAGTCCAGAAAACACCAGAGCTCACGAACCCCATTGCTCGCCCAGCTCTCAGCTGACTGGCACTTCTATTTTACGAGGGGCCCCGCGGACAGGTTTCTTCCTCTCCTGGGGCTCTTGCGCAGCAGGCGCGGCTTTCTTAGGTTTGGCCGCTTTCTCAGAGCTCCTCACTTTCAGCTTCAGCATGGGGCCATCATCCTCCGCGACTGCGGAGGATGCCGCCCGTTTGGTTGGCGTTGCCGCCGCGTTGGCGGACGTGTCGGGGATGCCAAGTTTCTCGACCATATCCTCCATGATTCTGCTGCTCTTCAAATGGCCTTTGACCGTGTCTGTGCCGCCTGCAACTTTGAGCATCCAAAAGCGCTTCTTACATGCAGGAACGAATTGCATCGATTTTCCGTTCACCGTCTTCTCTTGGACGCCCAGTCCGTAACCCGTCACTCCTGTCGGGCAGGACAGATATCCCCATTGAATCGTGACATTGGTCACAGTGCGAACTGGCGTCCATTCGCCCCTTCTACGTTTCGGCCCCATCTGCGCGCGACCCCCCCCCCCCCGCTACTGCGGGGGCGCGTCGAAGGCACAGCGGCGCGGGCCGCGGGGTCTGCAAGGTTCCGCGGGCCCCGCTGCGGCTTGAGGTAACTAGTGCGCAACGGCGCCACAGGAGGATCATGGCAACGAGAATGAGGTGGCGCCGGCGAGCGCACCCCCTTCCCTCGCGGAGGGGGTTGGCACGCACGTGCCCAGACCCCGCCCCTCACGGAGGGGGCCAGGGCATTCGTGCGCACGCCCCTTCCCTCACAGATGGGGTTGGGGCGTCCATGCGCACGCCCCCTCCCCGGAGGAAGGGGTTCACATCGGTGTCCTCACCATCAGCCGCGACATCGCCATCAAACATCACAATCACCACCATCATTTTACGTGCAGGATGTGCTTCACATGACGCTGCCCTTGTCTCTGAGCATCCGCTGTCCCTCATGCGATCACGCTGCATTCCCATGGGTTGTCTTCGTCACTGCTGCTGATCCTCCTCCTTAGTCATGCTGTTTTTTCATTAGCACACACCAGACGCATTGGGAAAAAAAACGAATCCTGTCCGCTTAAGCTCTTGCCTTCTCCTCATTCCCTCCTATCATTGTCCTGCTTGCTCGCGCCTGCGCATCAGCCTGCACATTCAGACCCGAGCGCCGCATCACAAGAGTACCCTGGAGCGCACCGTGGACACAGAAACTCCGAGATCCAACAAGGAGGCGAAGCCGCGCGTGACTGCGGGGATGGCGGAAGAGCAATATCATCAGCCCTCTGGCCACTGGTAGTGTATAGCATACTCTTCTCAAGCCCTCGACTTACCGCCCCCCTTTAACGAGCGTCTGGAACCCTGGATGGCGCAACGGTCGTCAGTGACAGCCAACGGCCTACGATGGCCCGCGGGCTCACACAAAACGGATCAAAGTGATTCAATATGGCCCCCATGTGGTTTCCAAGACGCCCCACAGCCACCTCAACATGGAGCGAGCTGGAAATTGAACCAGCCACATGCGCCCTCGAAGAGGCAACTTGACGATGGTTTGTTGCACGGCGGTGCTACAAAGTATCAGAGGGTTGACGGCTGTGAAAGCCGTTTGGCGGGAAACGTTTTCTGGTCACCTGACGGCCGTTTGGCGGGAACGTCTTCTGGTCACCTGAAGGCCGCTTGGCGCCAAACGGCCCTCAGGTGACCAGAAAACGTTCCCCGCCAAACGGCCCTCAAGTGACTGGAATATGGTTCCCGCCAAGCGGCCCTCAAGTGGCCAGAAAACGTGTCCCGCCAAACGGCCCCCAAATGACCGGAAACCGTTTCCCGCCAAACGGTTCGCAGGTGACCAAAAAAACGTTTCCCGCCAAACGGCCCTCAAAAAACCAGAAAATGATCCTGCCAAACGGCCGTCAAGTGACCAGAAAACGTTTCCCGCCAAACGGCCCTCGGGTGACCGGAAAACGTTTCCTGCCAAACGCCCCCTAACGGCCCTCAAGTGACTGGAAAACGTGTCCCGCCAAACGGTTCCAGGTGACCAGACAACGTTTCCCGCCAAACGGCCCTCAGGTGACAGGAAAACGTTTCCCGCCAAACGGCCCTCAGGTGACCAGAGAACGTTTCCCGCCAATCGGCCCTCGGGTGACAGGAAAACGTTTCCCGCCAACTGGCCCTCAAGCGACCAGAAAACATTTCCCGCCAAACGGCCCCCAAGTGACCGGAAAACGTTTCCCGCCAAACGGCCTTCAGGTGACAAGAGAACGATGGGGCAACCGAGTGTGTGAGGGGTGCGTCGGAATTGAGGTGGAATTGCACGCGGACCCTGCCAGTGGGACCTTCGGTGGAGCTCCCTATGGGGCCGCGAAACGTGTGAGGGGTGCGCCGAAATGGAGGTGGAACTGCATGCGGACCCTGCCACTGGGGCCTTGGGTGGAGCCACGCAGCGTGCGAGGGGTGCGTTGAAATGGAGGTGGCACTGCACGCGAACCTGGCCACTGGGGCCTTGGGCGGAGCGCCCTACGGGGCCACGAATCGTGTGAGGGGTGCGCCGAAATGGAAGTGGAACTGCATGCGGACCCTGCCACTGGGGCCTTGGGCGGAGCGCATGATGGGGCCACGAAGCGTGTGAAAGGTGCGCCGAAATGGAAATGGAAGTGCACGCGGACCTTGCCAATGGGACGGTGGAGCTCCGCTTGGGGCCATGAAGCGTTTGAGGGGTGCGCCGAAATGGAGGTGGAACTGCATGCGGGCCCTGCCACTGGGACCTTCGGTGGAGCACCCTATGGGGTCACGAAGCGTGTGAGGGGTGCGCCGAAATGGGCATGCGAGAGAGCAGAGGCAGGGAGGGGATGGAGAAGACGGGGAGGAACGCGGGAGGCGAGGTGAGGTGAGACGCGGGGCGCTGTCTTTTCAAAACGAGAACCCAACACCAGACGGGTTGGGATCATAATAATAAGGAGGGGGCGAAACATTCGGCCGAGCAGAACGGAGGAAACCGTTCTGGTTTCCCCCCCACCCGCCCCCGTAGCTCACCGACCCGAGCCGCTGAGAAGCGGGCTTCCCTTGACTCCCGATCTGTGGTGGCCCGAACGCCTTTTCTCTTATGAGGCGATGACGCAAGCCCACCCAAGCCCACCCAAATCTCAGAGAAATAGGCGCAATTATTATCAACGCCTACAGGACTTCGGCGCCCCGTCCCTGGCAAAATATCTGCCTTGCTTTGTTCGTTTTCGTTCCGCTCGTCTCCCCATGCCTTCGCGACCCACCCAAAATCTCTCCCGCTCCTGCGAACCTCCTACCTACTGCCCCCCGCTCGCGCTCATTTTTCTACGCAATGTGACATCGCCCGATCCAGGACCCCCTTTCCGCACCGACCTCGTGATATTTTTACGGGACGTTTGTTCCACGAGGCGCCGATGGTGGAACTGAGCGGGTTCTAGTGGTTCTTGGAAAACGTCGTTGGGGAGCGCTTCGCTGGCGAGTCGGAGCGCGTGTTTCACAAGGGCCCCGCTTCATGAAGGGAGGGAGGGAGGGAGGCGGGGCGGGGGTTGGCAGTGGCGGTGGGGGGAGAAAAGGGTCGGGGGCAAGGGCAGCGGCAGGGGCAGGCGGCCAGGGGGTTGTCCATAAACGATGATGAGAAGGCTGAGGACAAATACCAGCGGCGACACGGCGAAACTGTGATGGCCGCAAGGAAAAAGCAGGATGGGAAGCAACGTGGCAATCCACAGGCGTGCTCGGATATCATCGTAGAACTGAACGCATCCAGGGGGAAGCCGATGGAACAACGACCGTAGCAGGGAAGAAAACAGGGCCTTTGACACATAGAGAATGCAAAACACACGTCTGAAACGAAACGGAATGAGAGGCAGAAGGAGCAGGAACGCAATATGATGACAAACACAACGCAAAGAAAAACGCGAGGCACGCGCGCTCAGAACAATGACGGCGTAGGACTACCAGGTAAGCATGGAAGTAAATGAAGGGGCATGTGTAAGGCCATTGCATAGATCGCGGGAACGCGTGCTCCCCAACTTCGACCAACGCTGCGTCGATGCCCCCCTTCCTTCACGGAGGGGGTTCTCAACGCTGGTGCAAAGACCCCTTCCCTCACGGACGGGGGGAAAGGTTCGCTTATTTTAGCTCTTGGATTAGACGTACGGGCAAACCGGAACGGGCGGACAATCCTTCGGGGGCGTACATCTCTCTGCCCGCCATTGGAATTGGCGCGGGCCCTGCAAGAGGAGGAGGGGAAGAACGAGGGAGAGTGGGAGGAAGGGGAGGGGGAAGGACGAAGGAAGAGGGAAGATACCACGTTGTGAAGGCGTCCTTGGCGCGTGCGTGGTTCCTGAGCGCCGAAACGCAATTCCAGAATAATTTGTGAGGACGTCGCACGCGAGAGCGCAGTCCTGAGTACATTGTAGGAAATCTCAAGCGGAAGCGGGGGCCCTGACTAAGTTGCGAGGAAGTCTCAAGCGGGAGCGCCGTTCCTGAGCAAATTGCACGGAAGTCTCAGGCGGGAGCGGGGGTCCTCACTAAATTGCGAGGAAGTCTCAAGCGGGAGCGCCGTTCCTGAGTCAATTGCGCGGAAATGTCAGGCAGGAACGGGGGTCCTGAGTAAAATTAGAAGAAGTCTCAGGCGGGAGCGCCGTTCCCACGTAAATTGCACGGAAGTCTCAGGCGGGAGCGGGGGTCTTGATTACATTGCGAGGAAGTCTCAGACGGGAGCGCCTTTCCTGAGTAAATTGCGCGGAAGTCTAAGGCGGGAGCGGGGGTCCTGAGTAAAAATCGAGGAAGTCTCAGGCGGGAGCCGTTGTTGTTGTAGCCAGGGGGGCAGGGGCACAGTTTGAGCAGGAAGACTTTCCTTGAGAAAAAACAGAGTGCGAGCCCCGTGGGTGGCACTTCAATCGAAAAAATCAATGTGCACCGGTGGGGGGGGATCAACAATAATTATTCTTCAAGAATGAGAGTTCAACAACAACAACGACAACAACAACAACAACAACAACAATCAGCAGCAACCAACAGCATCACCAACGACAACCACAAAACGATCAGCAATCATGACAGCAACAGCAACAGCAACAGCAACAGCAACAACAACAACAACAACAACAGCAACAACAGCAACAACAGCAGCAACAACAACAACAACAGCAAAAGCAACCACAACAAGCCTGATCGCACTCTTCGAAATGGTCGCTCCAGGCACTTCCCAGAGCCAGTCGATTCACTCACTGCGTCGATGTTGCGTCGAACGTCCGTCGAGCTTGAGTCCGAGGTAGATTCGAACCAGGAGTCGAGCAGAGGAAGGCCCCCGAAACATACTTGTGGAACACTCGGTGGGGAGGGGGGGCCCACCGCAGCAGCGCGCGCCCGGGCGCCACCGCGGCCACGCGCGCCGAGGGCCGAAGGCAAGACCCCCCACTGCGC